AATGCTGTTGAATTAGAGTAGGTACGTAGGCAGAGGTAAAAATCCCAGGAACCTTAATCCAGGTTCTATTCCTGCTCCTCGCGAGAGTACTTGCCATGTCGAGTAATGAAACATCCACCGCACACACGTGTAAAAGTAGGCATTACATGGCGAGGAGATCTACATACATACATAAAAAGAACTCGGTGAACAAAGAAAAAGACCTGGCAGAGACTTCATCACCAAAGTCACCTTAGGACCACCACCTCCATCTTGCCACATACTCACCAAGTCGATCCCCAGTTCCCATTGAAATCCATGAACAACTCAGGCTCAGCGCCCACCCAGGAAAGCATCTCGAATCAGTTTGATGTGTGGCAATTGCATATGTGGCAGGAGTGGTCTCATTGGTCCAGTGTTGTGGTTGGTTGGGGTTGGGGTTGGGGTTGGGTCGAATTGGTTGGTGGGTTGGGGTCACATATTATGGGCGGTGGGGAGTGGATATTGGGGGGGAGTGATAATTCATGACCCGCGCGCGCGATACACACATACTGAGACAGCCACGTCCGCTGGGCCCAAAACGGCGGGGGTGAAGGCAGCTAAGTGAATCGACAAGCACAATTTTGAAATTGATCGTTTCATTTCCAGGGCGGAGATAAATATTGCATATTCATTAGATCAAGAAAAGGGAAATGGTTTGTAATCTCCATGCCGAAATACAGAAATCAAAAATAATAATTAAGAGCTCATGGGAAATTCACAGAATATATAAACCGTACCTCGAGGGGGGTAATATATGGGGGGATGCTGGGGCAATCTATTATCAAGTAGAGTGCCTAGACTGGCCAGGCTACCCCTCACTCCCCACCACCAGACCACTAGACCAGGGGGGAAAAAGCGTACCTGCATACATACACCACGCAAGGATGTCCCCCCGGGCCCCCAGGCCAACCACAGCGCTCAATATAAGATCTGGGTAATGAAGCGCCGCGGGTTCATCTCATCCTGCAGTACACACGTTCAGCAACATTAAGCTGCTGGCAAGCAGAGAGTGCGAGCCAGTGTGATTGAGGATTATCCCAAGCGGCCAGCTACCAGCTAGCTATAGCAGCGCACTGTACTGGCAGGGGAGGCAGGGTGGGTGACAAGTCATCCATCGACCCCATCTCGAGCCGGCATCGAAAAGTAAAAAAGAAAAAAAAAAAAAAAAAAAGAATGAAACCCACATCATGCGCAGATTCCGAGATTCCAAGATTTGGGATCGGGGGTAGAGGAGTAAGTTGTGGATGGAATATGTGGATGTGGATGGAGCCATGGGGCCGGTACGTTTGTGGATGTGGATGTGGATGGTGGTGTGCTGTTACTACTGCGCTGTACTGCGCTGTACTGTGCCCCTCCCTCCCCTCCCTCATCGTCCCCCCTCTCCCATCTCATCTCATATACGTGGGTGGTGGAGTTCGACGTGGAGGCAGGCAGGCAGGGTGTACAAGGTACCGGAAACTCTGCTGTAGGCAATCGTAGAATTTCTAGCACCACCACGTACCTACATGTAGGTTATGTGGTGGCCGCCGCCTAGCTAGTAGGTTAGCTGTCCGCCTACTTCTGATGCATACATGTATGCTATGCCATACATACACTATAGCTACATACCTGGAGATGGCCATGCAACTGCAAATGCGCATCACCTCCCCTCACTCATGATCACCCATCATCACTCCACTCCACTCCGCTCCTCCACCAGCAGACCAGCACGTTCCAGCAGAGTCACACATACTTGGTAGCCAGGTAGCAGGTACGATGTATGTACAGTACATACATGTATGTACCTAGGCCGGTAGAGCGCTCTACCCACATGACGCTGCTGTGTGTCGGCCCCCCATAACCCACTCATCTCCATCGCGCCTCATATCTGGCCAGAATTGCCCCTCCCCCATCCGGAGGCTCCCCCCCATCCATATGGTACCTACATCACATACATGTACGTACCTACATCCTGTAGGTCCTCCCCTAGCTGCCAGCGCCAGCGGCCTCCATCTCATTCCTACCCATTGCTTGAAGCCAAGCAGACCCGCGCAAATGCGATGCGCTCAGATACCATGCACGTACCTCTTCGTTTTTTTTTCTTTCTTTCTTTTTTTTCTTTTTTTCTTCTTCTTCAGATCAGGGGACGGGAACCGGGACGGACGGGGAATTAAATGAGACAGAGCTTCTAGTAGGGTTCTCCCTAGAGTAAGTAGAGTAGGGTTCGAATTTTCTGGAGCGTCTCTCTCTCTCTCTCTCTCTCTATCCCAGACAGGTAATTTAGGTAATGGGGAAGTTGGAGAGGAGAGGAGACCGGGTAGCATCCATCCCCATCCTAATTGGATCTGCCCTTCCCGTGGAAGCATCTCATGGAAGCCCGGTGGAACGGGGGGGATCACAGGTCACGTGATGTTGAAATTTCCGGAAGTGGCCGAGATGGGCGCCTTTCTACGGAGGACGGCGGTGGGGGGGGGGGTGGGGGTACAGCACGCATGGGGGGTAGTTTGGAGTAGAGTGGGTGAAAAAGAGTACGTAGAGCTTATAGATATAAGATTGATATACTTTATTATATATATCCTGAGGTTATTGTTTTCTCCCGCGGGAGAAATAGGTACTTGGGTACATTGAGTAGGTAATCTAGGTAGGTGGTGATGATAGTTCGTGATTGAGTTCCTTGCAGAGTCACATCTTTCCCCCATTCTGCTTCGAAAAGATGTGCCTGTCTGTCCCTGCTGTCCCTGGCCATGTCCCTGTGCAGCAGCAGCGCTTACCTAACCGACCGACCGACCGGCACACCACACCTGGAGTCCCACCCAGCAAGGCCTCCCGACGCGACGTCCAACCCGGAAACGAAACAACCGCACCCCTGCACGTGGCACGCGACGGTGGTACGACAGCTACAGAAAGGAAATTTTTTTATTTTTTCGTTTTTTCGTTTTTTCTTTCTTTCTTTCTTTTCTATGCGTGTGTGTGTGTGGTGGGGAGAGACGGGGGGGGAAAAAGACAGGCACAGACACAGACACAGAGAGAAAGAGGAAGAGTGGGACCAAACCCCCCCCCCCGGGGGGGGAGGAGGGGAGGGGGCCCTCTAAACAGACTGCCACGTCGGTGGACGTTATGGGAGTGATGCAGATTACGGTATGGGGTGAAATGCAGGAATGGGGGGGGGGAGAGGTGTGCATAGGTAGGCGAGTCTCTCTCTGTCTTCTTTCCCTTTCTCTCTCCCGGTGTGTGTGTGTGTGAGTGAGTGTGGGTGAGGTGCGTGTGTGTGTGTGTGTGTGTGTGTTTACATCATCGGTTATGTACCTACTTTTTTTACCTACGATATGACATCGCGGTAGGTTGGGGTTGGGTTATGATGTATGTAGATAGCTAGGCGGTAGACATGTCACTCACTCACTCACTCACTACTGATCACTCACTCACTCACCGCTCGAAGCTCCCGGGTGAATGATTGACGTTCGAAATAGCAGCTGCCATCCACTCGATTGGCTGGTCGGTTACTTCGGACGAGGGGAGGGGTGGGGTGGGCATGATGATGATGAGGGAAACGAAAGGACTGATGATGATGATTATGGGATGTTTGTGGCGGGCCTGTTCCTTCGGAGGAGGCTTGCTGGGGGCCAAGGATTGGGTCGGTTCGGTGGCTTGAACGGAGGAGGTAGGTTTGTAGGTAGGTCCTGGTCCATCAAGTTGCATCAACTACAACCTAGAGTACCGCTACCGCAACTACAGGCTACATACCCACCTCCACCTCCACCACCGCAGGGTCTCAGGACGGAGGACGTCCGTAGCTCGTCCATGTCGGGACTCGGATGCGAGCTTGTTACGAGATGGGCGGGTGAGTGAATGTGGTACGGTGCTGCACACCCACAAAGAAATTGATCAAGATCAAAAAAAGGTGAGATGAATTGAGCTTCTGCTTGCTTGAGGAGAATTAATTGAGCTGAAGAAAAGAAATGCGCTCCCGTTGGTACATGAGTAGGGTAGGTAGGGCACTGGCAGGCTAGGGGAATTAATTGGGGAGGATTGATATTTGCATAAGTGGGCGCCGTACATAGAGTAGATCATCATCCATCCTCGTCGTGGAGAGTACCGCGAACATCGACAGGGGTAACCAAAAAAAAAAAAAAAAAAAATTCTCCAGCGCAGGGGATAGTAGGTTATTATTGTACCTACTCTACGGGTTTCTTCACATATAGGGTACACCTCCAATTTACCTAGGTAGACAGCCCGTCGAACATGGGAATGTTGTTCTCGCTCCCTCTGCCTTGCCTGCCACCACCCCCGGAGCCGGAGGAGGAGGAGGAGGAGCAGGAGGAGGAGCAGGAGGAGGTCAAAGAGAGAAACATCATAACATAGCAATTGAACACTAACCCGGCCGGATTAATTCTTCTCAGGAGAAAGGGATCGAAGGAAGGAAAGAAAAAGAAGGGGAAGCTAGACACAGACATTCTTTTCTGGTTTTAGACTTCGGTTTAGGTTTTAATATGTATAGAGAGACGTCTGTCTGGTCATAGCTGGCCTTTTTTATTTTTTAACTTTCTGTTCTTGTTCCCCAGGCCATTCAACCCATTCATTCGCTCACTCGTCGACGTACCAGCTTCTTCATTCCTTCAGAAGCTTGAGAAGACTTAGTTGTGAATAATCTTTCCCCTTCCATCACGACGTACGGCGGCGGCGGCATAAACAAAAAGAAACCCCGACGTACCTCAGATCAGATCTCCGTTCGTCATATTCGGCCGGCACATACAATAATACCTTAAACTACCTACAGTACCAAATCGACGACGTCGCATCCAACTCCCCTCATACATACATACCTACATACCCTACATACATAATACATAATTTTTTTCTTTTCCTTTACCTTTTTTTTTTTTTGGCCCCAGGAAGGTGTTTGTGTTGTCATCACCTCACATTTCCCACTGGGCAGTGATTCCCAGTCCCTTTCCCTTTCTAGTAAAAGGAAGGTACAGGATTACTTGTGGTACAGACACATGGCGGGCATCACGCAGTGGTCCATTTGGAGCAATAATAACGCTGGTGCGAAGAAGAAGGGCGACCGGGGGGATTTGCAGGACAGCGCATTGGACGGCGGCGGCAATGGTGGTTGTGGTGGTGGTGATAATAATAGTAATGAGGACTTATCAATGAGTGGGGGAAGTGATAGTGGAGGAGACGGAGGAGTAGGAGGGGGGTTGGTGGTGGGTGAAATGGAGGGGAAGTCGTCGTCGTCGTCGTCGTTGTCGTCGTTGCTGTGGTCGGGGAACGGAGAATTAGGGAAGCTACTGCTGGGGGGAGATGAGAATGAATTGGGACATGCAGCAGCAGCAGCAGAAGCAGCAATATTGATAGCTGGTGTGGAGGGGATTGGGGAGGAACAATTAATGCTAATGGGAAACAAACTCGGTCACGACGTCACCTCTAATCTTTTGACAGCTACCACTACTGCTAGTAGTAATACTGCCAGTATTACTGCTGCTACTACTGCTGCTGCTGCTGCTACTATTACGGCTACTAATTCTGCTACTAATACTCGTCCTAATACTGGTGTTACTACTCCAGCCAACCTCGATCTCAATGATAGTCGTAATAATAGTGCCACACCAACAAAGCTCAGGCTCAGGCTAATTGCAACAAAATTGTCGACCGCAATCACCAGATCGCCCTCGCCCTCTGCTGCTTCTTCCGTGGTGACCTCGCCGGTGCTGGCCAGTTTCTCAATATCGAGTCCTCTTGTATCCCACTCCAGCCACACTCTGGCCCTTCGTCATGAGGTGAACGACGCAAATGGCGAGAGCCTCACCTTGCAGCACAGTTTTTACCGTGAGGCAGGCCCCACCTTTGGCGGGAGACCAACCTACCACAGCTCCCACTCAGCCGTTAGGCCTACTACTGCAGTCCCCTCCGCAAGTGCTTCTTACACCTTCTCCGATCACTTAAGCTCTCTTGGCCATCCGGACCCAATCACCCTCCACAAGTCCAGGTCAGCCAACGACCTGTCTCTCTTTCTCCCACTCGACGAATGCCTCCCGCCTATCCCTCCCTCCCTTTGGGGGTCGCGCCAGCAATACGCCTGCAAACACGCAGACACGTTCACAGCTGGCCAGGTGGCAGCCTTGTCCGACAACCACCACCACCACCACCACCACCACCACCACCACAACAACCAGAATCTCGACCTCCACCACACTACTCACGCTCACACTCACACACCGACTGATGAGAATCACTCAATTCTCAACCACGAAATTTCCCCCGCCGTGGTGGTCGTAGCTTCTCCCACCACTCCTCCTCCTCCTCCTCCTCCTCCTAGTGCTCCTCTCCTTCCCCCCCAGCAGGGAAAACCTAAACCTGCACTCGGTCCACCCCTAACATTCTCCTGCGAGGAAAAGATCTCCCCACTCAGCCCCGAAGACGCAATTGCCAGTCCTGGACGTCGGCCCTGCCATGAAACGTCGTCCTCTTCGTCCCTCACATCACCTAAACCAACTCCGTCTTTGTTGTTTGACCCCGAAACCTTTTCGTTCTCCGAGCAACAACACGATCGTTCTCTCTCCACCCCTCCTCCTCGTACCCACCACGTTTCTCCCGTAAACGATCTCTTCAGCACACCTCCGTCGTTGTTGTTGTTGTCGTCCGGTACTTCGGTTGTCGAGCCTCGAGATACCGATAATCGGCCATCGGAGTTGTTGACAGAACTCTCTGGCGACGCCTCATCATCATCTTTGTCTCCATCGTCGACATCATCACCACCATCATCATCATCAGCATCATCACCAGCAGCATCATCATCAGCAGCAGCAGCAGCAGGAGTGAGAACAGCAGAAGAAACTGTCAACGTCAATCTTTTGGCTGAATTCCCCTGGTGTGCAGCCGGCCCCGAAGCGGATCCCCTCGCATCCCCCACATACACGCCAGCTCAGCGCTTTCTCCCTCCGCTCCCGCCTCCACCTTCTCCATCGTCATCTTCCGTGGCGCCTCAGTCCGGGAAGGAACGTTCGGCACTAGTGATACCCACCCTCATACTCGAGCAATTCTTTTCCGACTCTGCGATGCCGAAGTTGCGGTCATCGGATAGCGGTGTGAGTTCACGCACACGCCCCGACCCTCTCCGCCCTACCAGTTTTGGAGGTGCAAATGTGCCAAAAGCACCGTCCTCGCCCCACAGCACCCACAGCATTGGGCGTATGTTCTCGACAAAAATACGTGGTCTATTGCACAGTCGTGATAGGCGGGCAAGTAGTCCTCTCAGCCCCCCCAATGTTGCCTCAAGTATCCACGAGGCCCAATTTGTGTCTGCGTCGGTGCCTTCCTCGCCGCGCACCACTGCGCACTACCCATTGCCTCTGAACGAGATTCATCCAAGCCAGTTGTCGAGGGACTCGACTGAGGAGTATGTCGGATATGGTACCACCCCCACCTCAAACCCGAGCCCCTTGTCGCGGAAAGATTATTCACACTCTGGTGCCAAAGCCGCTTCAGGTCACTCTTCGTATAGGTCTGCGGACTCGCCCACAACACGGACCGAGACAACAAGTCAAGACTCGTCGACAACGACCGATTCCACCGGCATCCGGAGTGGTCGCAGTTCGTTCCAGAGCTTCCACGATGAGAAGAGGCGTTCGGATTCTCCGTCGAGCCCCATCACTCCGGACGGTGATTACATGTTTGCCAGGAGCTCGCCAGAAAAGACCGGAAGCGATAATTACTACCCCTGCAACAGCTTTGATGATGATGACGGCAGGTCGCAGGAGGTGCTTTTTTGCCTCGACGAAGGCAACCTGATGCTTAACCAGGGCATTCCCTCGGTGAATATCGAGGCCCCAACGCCCACGGTGAACAAGCACTCCAGTCACTCATCGGCAGTGACAGCCTCATCCCGAATTCCTCGGCCCATGTCCTCCAGGTCACGCTCGGCGAGCCCAGCACCCCAGCGAGCCCCGAGCTTTGCGGCTTCGATCCGGGAAGAGATTACTGGTCGGGAGACGCCGTCATTCCTGGCACCGAGACCTGCACCAATCCCAATCCCAGTTGCGGGATCTGCAAAGCCTGCCCTGCATCCCTCGGCCGGTGGGTCGAAGCTTCTGCGAACCAGCACCATGAGCTCAAGATCGTCGGCAGTCAACCAGGCCAAGGCACCACTATCACTGACACCCAGGGTACGGACAAATTCCATCACTCGGCCGTCGACAGCCAACCGTCCTGGCACATCGTTCTCGGCCATGTCGATGAACTCCAATAGGAGCATGCATATGCATAGTCCCAAGTCGCCTGGGATGCCCATGGACAACCTTGCTGATGTAGACGAGAACATCGTGCTCCCACCCCCACACAGCCCAGGCGCAGCAGCATCAGCATCAGCCTTCAATCCTGATAAGTTCGCGTCCAGAGGCTCGCGGGGCAACAACAAGCCCAGCTCGCTGCTGCACGAGATCGTCATACCCCCCCAGTTCGACGCCGGCTCGTTCAGGACGGCCCCTGTCTCGCCCACGGCCGCATCAGAGTACAGCTTCACCGCGGGGCTGTCGCCAAAGAGGATACCCGACGACATGCAGAACATGCGGCCCATCGTCTTCAACACCGAGACGTCGGACAATGACGTCTCGATCCCGTTCTTCCCCGTGGCGCCCGCGCATGCAGCGCCACAGGCAGCAGCAACAGCAGTACCGGTTGTGGCAGCGGCAGCCGAGGCGCCCCGCCGCTCAAAGACCGTCAGCCTACGACATGCCTTCACCCGGCTCAACTCGCACGTCAACAAGCGCGGTGCAAACCACCCGCCCATCACGCCCGACATCATCTCGCGTCCCTCAAACGCAATCAAGTACGGCGGCCCCCATCCGCTCTCCTCCGAAATCTCCCACTCCCTCGACAACAACGACGACGCCTGCGAGAAGGGTCACAACCACAGTGGATCATCATCGTCGTCGTCTCGACCCCGCGCAACCTCTGGTGGGACACTGCCGTCGTCCTCCTCGTCCTTTGCACGTTGGAAATCAGGCCACGCAAGATCGTCGTCCAACCCGTCGAACCTCCCGCCCGTGCTGCCGCCCTCGCAGCAGCAGCTGCATCAGCCAGTCTACTACTCCCCACCAGGCACCGTCCCCACGAGCCCCACACTGTCTGCCACCACCACCTCCTCGCCTACTGGCACTGGGGTGCAGGCCGTGGCCCTCACGGACGAGGAGCGCTCCGAGCTCGCACGCATGCCGGGCACCATCTTCCTCAAGACTGCGCGCAGTGGCGAGAGCGCGGACGGCGAGCTGATTATCGAGGAGCACAGGTTGAAGCCGCGGAAGGGGATGCAGGGGAGCGGTGATGCGGGGAAGTGCAGGTTTTGTAGGAGGGGGCCGTTTCCAAATATGTGGGTGTGTTTGGACAGCTGTGGATTTGTCATGTGTAGGGTGTGTGCGAATGAGAGCGTGCAGGGCGGGGAGGCAGAGCTTTTTTGATCTGCTTGCTTGCTGGATACTGGCTGGTTGAACCTTCTAGTTAGTTCGATCCCGAGAAGAAGCTGGAAGTACCTTCCCTCCTTCTTCCTTTATTCCCGTTTTTGACGATGTTTTTCTGTTTATTCTGTAAATTGCATAGCGTGGGTTTCTTTTTTTTTTTTTTTTTTTTTTTTGATTGCTTTGCTCTGTGTTTTTAGTTGTGATTTGTTATTTTAGCGGTTGTGTGTGTGTTATTTTCGGATTGTTCTTTGATTTTCTGATCTTTTTCTCTTATGGTCGTGACACGCATTTCTTTTGTGGCAAGCTCGCGTTTCATCTTTTTTTTGCTCTCCTAAAGCGCAACTTACACACAATTTGGTTACTACTTATATGTTGGCTCGAGCGGTCGTTGTTGCTGGGACGAGTGAGGGGGGGGCTGGGAGGGAGGGAGGGCAGGTAGTATGAAGCAGAAGCAGCAGCAGCAGGGGAAGGGGAAGAGGGGGGGGGGGGTGGAAAGAAGGGCCGGGGGTGGGGGAAAGGATACAGTTTTATGACATTGCAGGAAGGAACAGATTGGGATTGGCATACATACATATTACAGGGCCGGACGAAGGTTTTTTTCTATTTTATTTTTGGGAGGTGGGGCGTTTTTACTTTGTATTTTTTTTTTTCACTTCTCTTTTTTTGTTGTTGTTGTTTGTTGCTGCTTGCTGCGTACGTTAGGGAGATCGATTTCTTTTGTTTATAATTTTTTTCTTCTCTCTTTTCTACTTTTATTTTTTTTTTCCTTTCAAACTTACCTCTTACTTTTACCTTTACTTTATTGTCTATTTTCACCAAAAACCCCCCCCCAATCCCTTTCTCTGTATTTCTTGGGAGCTTTTGTCCCCAACGGGGAGGCTCTTTTTTAGGATAGTTAGGCCCGATATCGATATGAAGAACCAGACCATCTCATCACTGAGTCACGGCCGCGGTATAATTTTTTTCTGCCCCCTCCCCTCCCATGGCTGCACCACATATTATTTACCAGTTCTGAAAAAGCTGTAGCCACCACTGGTATAGTACTAGTTCACACAGCAGCAAGATTTGAAAAAAACTTGCATATCTGACCTCTGACCACGGATCGAGCAAAAAAAAAAAGAAAAATAGGGGGAGGTAGGGGGGGGCGGGGGGGGGGGGCGAGAGATTGTTTCCGATTCCGAGAGTTTTTTCGTGATGCCGGTACAGATATGTGATCTTGGTGAATGATCATGGAGCAGGCAGGAGGTGTGAGCTGAGGTATACCCATGTCCACCCTTTCCACCTTTCCACCGCCGTCTCATGGACCGGACGGATGCTTCTAGATTCATGTCATGGTTCAAGAAAGGCTTTGTTGTAAAAAAAAATTATTCCCAGTTCCAGCTCGTTTTTTTTTTTTTTTTTTTTTTCCCTGATCATGATCTGACCAGCTCTCCTTCCTAGGAGCTCGAGCGCGGGAATAGAGGAGTAGAGAGAAAGAGACGTGAGAAAGGCAGGACGTACGTATAGCCAGGGATGGCAATATCCATCCATGGGGCCCGGCCGGCCATGCATCCTGTGCAAAAGAAACCTGAATCAGACGCAGGAGGCCCCCCCCCCCTCATCCTCGTTTCGTGTTCACGGCCACCCGCCCGCCTGCCTGCCTGCTGCCTGCTGCCTGCTGCGTGCCTGGTCTTGTTTAATATTATATTTAGCTTCAGCTAGCTAGCCTGGTTCGACGTATATGTTCATGCAGGTGGGAGATGTGGTTCGAATCATGTGATCTGCTGCTTTTTGGGGGGGGGAGGGGGGAAGAAGAATTTTATTGTCCCACCAGGCACAGAGACACAGTAATGCTCAGCTGCTGAAGGAAAAAAGGGAAGGCACAAAAAAAAAGTAGAGCTTTTTATCATTGAGGGGGCGAGTGATGGGTTGAGATCGGCCCTAGCTATAGCTAGCGTGAGCGTGGCAAGGTTAGGGTTGGCTGTGTGGGTGTGGGTGTGGGTGTGGGTTAGGGATCCTGCTTGGACAGGGTTAGGGAACAGGTACTGCAGCATCCTTACACATGTATGTAGCTTAGCTTATGCACACACTGAGCGTGTTGCTGGGCTACAGAGCTACATGCAGGCAGCGGCATGTCAGAAAGCTTGGTTGGATTAGAGTTGTCGGTATCTACATGTATGTTCCTGGTGGGGGCTGGACGATAGGGTTCTGACTCCGCTCTGCACCCCTCCCCACGCCCCACCACCACCACCACCACCACCACCACCACCACCTTGCCCTCCTCCGGCCCTGGCCTGAGTAGGTACTCTAACGGGCGGGTGTGACTGCAGAGTGGATGGCTGCGCACGAGGTGACAAGTGCGATAAATGCGAACACGAGTCGTGGGGCTTGCACAGTCATAATATAAGTACCTAGCGCCGTGCTGCGAGGGACGATCCGGAGGCCAGCCCGTGGAGTGGCGAGAACTGGGGAAAGAGTTGCGGGTGGAGAGCGAGCGGTTGGGCGTGCGGTGGGAGCTAGGTCAGGCCCTCCATATCGAGCAGCCCATGCAAGCTATGGAGAGCGTTGTTTGCTAGCTATGTGTGGCTGTGGCTGTGGATGCAGGAAGACTCGACGGGTAATAGGATGATGCTACATGTTACAAACGAGGATCGAAGGCTGTCGACTTAATTACACCCATCAGGGTGGCACGTCTGGTTAGCTATAGGCTAGACCGCCGGGAACACCGTTAATACCAAGACCACCTTACAGCGGAGGGGGGGTTCGGGTTCGGGTTGTAACTGAGAGGTGGGTGTTTGTTTCTATAAATGCCATCAGAGTCGACTCACGCCATTGGATATTGCATGCAGTATCTGTCTTGTTTGGCCGAGGAGTCATCGGGGCGGCGTTGACTGTGTGTGTATTTAGCTAGGCGGGTGACCTGAATCGCAGCTTGGGGGATACAGACAGAGAGGTACCGGAGACATAGTATGGCGAGGGGCCGCCGACATCGGCGAGGGGGTTACTTATATTGCAATTGGGTCTCTAGCTGGGAGATCTCTTCACCACAATAATATTCGCAACCTCCGGAATCTATAGCTAGCTGGAGATACCTCTATCTCCAAAAAGTAGTCTTCGCCACTTCTGACATCTCGACTTGTAGCTCAAGCTATAAACCCTCACCTAACCAACCCCGCCACCTACTACCGTCACAAACACCCCCCCCCCCCCCACCATGTCCGAGACGTAAGCCCTCCCCCCCCCTGCCCTCTCTACAGACCCCACTAATTCCCCTCCCCCCACAGCACCGACTTCAAGTCCACCTTCACATCCACCGAGCGCCGCCGCGCCTCCGCGGCAATGCTCCTCTCCCGCCCCTCCCACATCCCCGTCATCTGCGAGAAGGCGCCCAAGTCCAAGATGGAGGGCCCGAGCCTCATCAAGGTGCTCATCCCGCCGGAGCGGCAGGTGGCGTACCTGCTGCACCTGATCCGGCGCCGCACAAAGATTGCGCCGACGCAGGCGCTGTTCCTGCTTGTGGATGGGGTGCTGCCGCCGACGAGTATGGAGCTGGGCGTCCTGTTTGAGGAGAGGAGGGATGCGGATGGGTTTATGTATGTGGTGTAAGTTCTTCTCTCTCTCTGGGCTGGGTGTGTTGGGGGTGGATGCAGTGGGCTGACGGTGCGGGCGGTGCGTGTAGGTATACGGGTGAGGAGACGTTCGGGGAGGGAACGGTGGAGGAGGAGGAGGAGGAGGAGGAGACGGAGGGTTAAGGGGTCTTTTTCATTTGGGTGGAAGCGTCAGTAGCGGGTTTCGAAAATCTGTGCATCATTTCTTGTTTTTCTGACAGCTCGTCATTTCGGGGTCATCCCACATCTAGGGATGGCCATCTCATAAGCAATCTGCTCTGGCCGATATCATAGCGCGCCATTTCTGAACAGTTAGGAGTTTGTGGTAGATAGTACATGTGCTTGAATATTTTTCAGAGAAACTACCACAATTGAACAAATTTCCCTTCTGTAGTTGGTTGGGCGAATAGCACACCCGAGTGATAATTCATGAAACAATATATGATCTCATTATTGTGGTCAGCCTGAAGACTATGACGTAGCCAATCTATCTTGATCATAACAAACATCAAACCAACGTAACCTCGCCCGTACATACATACAGAGGATAGGTTCCATGTAAATCCCTAACGCCCCGTACCATCCCCATCCTCAGGCACCTCCTCCACCCACGCCTGATGTCTCCTCGCCCGAACCGCCGACTCCCGCCCTATAAGCCCTATGAGCGCCGAACTATTATCCGACTCCTGAGAACCTCTATTAGCCCAGCCCCCTCAAATTCATTCCTTCAAACCGCATATACTCACCCCTTCACCGTCAGCCCCCGCCTCCGCCTCGCCAAACACCTTTTCCAGGAACGCCGCAAGCCTCTGGTAGCCCGCTTCACTCAGTTCGGGAGTCTTGCTGCGTATGCTTTCTTGGGGCGTGCTTTTTGGCGTGGGCAGCTCATGAGGTGTTGAGGAGGTTGAGACCGCGGCTTCTTTGGCGGGGGTGGGTTCTTGGGGTGTCGCCTCGTCGGGGTGCTTCTGCGGATCGGCCATCTCTTCGATTGCTTGAAAATGAGTTCTGTTGGGCGCGCGCGTTGTTCCGCGGGGTTTGGTCGATTGAGCGAGCGAGTGAGGGAGGTGTGGTTGGTTATATGGTGGTGGTGGTGGTGGTGGTGGTGGTGGGAACAAAGAAAGGCCCAGACCGGGCTCAAAATACTATTCTGTAGTTTTTGGTGTCAGTGCCAATAATGCCAATGGGATAAAAAGAAAAAACCTAGTGTTCAAAGTAGTGGGTCAAACTTATAAGAATCTGACCGAGGAAATCTTGGTAGAGGCCTCCTCAGGGTGTTTGGCGCGTGCAATCATAGACTATCACTCGCAGGGACTGAAACAGGCACTCTGCCGCCCACCCGTCCTGGATATGGGGAATAGATATCGAATTTATGATTTTGGCTAGGTTATAGATTTGGTTGTGTGTATCGACTGATTGATGCATCTGTGCTTCGAATATATATCGTTTGATTCTGTCGGCCAGCTAACCAAAGGGTTTCAGTGCCTGTGTATCTGTTACTGCCCCTCTCGTACCACATACTAGAAGTCAGAGAGTGGCCTTCGTCAGTAGCGTTCATGATCTAACGACCAATAACGCCAAATGTGGGGGTTTGCCCGGTCTGGGGCCTCTGAGACTTTGTTCTTCATATGGCTGGCCATTTCGAGGTCGTCGATATATAGATGATGCCCTTCGCGTGAAACTGTATGTGTACGTGTACGCTTAGTGACATATGGGGGTAAGGGGACACGGTGTCTTGAACTCTACATTAATCGAATGTCGACCCGGACTTTAGACTAAGTACCACCTATCCTGTCTATTTGTGGCCTTCAGCATCCAGATCTACATGTAGTTCCTGGCTGGGAAAGACCTAGATAAACAAAGCAAAATGTGCAATTTGTTTGCCATCTTTCCAAAGTACTCACTCTACGATCGCGACACCACCGCCCCCAAGGAAAGAAGAAAAAAGAAGAGTAGAAGTGGGGGCGAGAAAGCGGTTTTGATGGGTTTTGATATTTGGAAACATAGGAGGGTAACAGGTTAGAGAAATCCGAAAGGCCACATAGCTTATTGAAGTGTACGTGTTCAAACTTATATTTATAGGTTCTTTGAAGACCAAAAGGTTGGATACATGTATGTATAACGAGTAAAATGATAGATCTAGAGTACCTTAATATAAGGAATTTTTTGGTATAGAATAAATTAATACCTTGTGATTGATTTTCGGCTGGAAATCGACTTTGCTGATAAGTAAAATTCAACATTATATATATGTGGCTCAGTTCATCCGTATAAATGCTCATAAATAGCTAAAATCATCTGCTAAACTTTAAAGGTCCTCCCACATGGTCTAGGTGACTATGAAATACGGCTATTTTAAAATATTTCCCAAATTGCGCTGAATTCGCTGTTGGATATTTGGCATTTCAAATGATGTCAAACGGGTGCAGGTGCAGATGACGAAGAGCACTGGTGGTCGAACGGGTACGAGTGAGATGTCATGTTGAGACCTGTCCTTGTCATGTTTAATGACAGCTGTCCGATCCGTGACTATATAGCTAGTCAGTTTCTTTGTCGAGATTAGAATTAAGTCACTTAACTGTCTCGTCCTCATCCTCTCTCGTTCTCGTCCTACTTTTTCAACATTCGCAGCAGTGGAGAAACCGAGTGAGAGTCTATGTAATTAAGTCAAGATCCCATTGGGCAATAAAACCTCTGATTGAATAAGAAGCCTCGACCTGCGAGGAATATAGAACGTACTAACGCAAAACAGTCCTTTTTAGGGTCCTATTGAGAGCCTATCAGTTCTTGGAGGCACCCCCTCCTCCCCCCTCTATGCGTGAGAGGGCGGCTATTCAAGAAAAGGGGTTTTATCGCGCACGGGAAATGCACCAATATTTCCAGAGGTTTAAGCGCGATTAAAAAGGCTCGCTCATTCTGGAAAAGCTTGATGTTAACTTACTAAGGGCGGGTTAATCCTTCTGTGCTACTCCCCGTATGATTAACCTAGAAGTATGCTAATATGTACATACTACCTATTGGTTTGTAAAGATTAGAATTGTCCGTATATAGTCTACAGAAATGGATGGGTGGTAAATCATTTACAATGTCATATGTTTAGATCATGGTAAACTATGTGTATATGTATTTAGTCACTAGTGGCGGTCCACCGGGATCGCTGAACCGTGAGAATAATGTCATTATATATATACCGTACCTGCGCTAGTGGGACTTGGTTCTCCTCCTATCGTTGAAAACATTGGTAGCCAAGATATTATACAGCTTACTGGCATGTAGTGTGCGACACCGGTCACCCACGATCACTCGTTTCCAAATCCTGCAGGCGAATCGTGTGTTCCTGTAGGTACATACATAGAGCTCTAAGCATGTCAGCTAACGAACAAACTAGGGTCTTTCTTCGGGTCGAATGAACCATTGGAATGCAGGTGTATCCCCAAGTTTCGGGCCCCCACTTGGATACGCGTAGTACAAGTACGGGTCTCGCCGAATTTAAGCTATGAGGCATGTATGTACATGTTACGTAGCCATACCCACAGGGAAATTTTTCTAACTCAAGTTCTAGATCATATATTAACGTTCCCTGTTGCATAATTTATCTATTCTGCTCCATACGATGTAACTCCTAATCTAACGATTTATTCTACGTGATCTATGTTACATAATTACACGTAGGTTATATCCACACAATCCATGTGGCCTGCAGAATCCTGGGTCCTTGAAAATTGAATGAGCACTGAAGGGCTAGTCGTCGCTTAATAGTAGACTTCACGGATGTCAGTGCGCAATTTGTTTGTGGCCATGGGTAGATGTTTATATCATTCTGTCGCCTGAATAAAACTCTGTTACAGCGTGTTTTGAGTTCCGCGCACATAAAGTATATCCCACCTCAGTAGACGTTAGCCATACGCCAAGCTTAAAATCTACCATTCACCCAATCGGAAAGTTTAATCGATGAGCTTCTGACAAAATCGCTTGGTAGTTACTAGTGGGGTCCAAACAAAACAGGTTCGTGACATCTGCCAACCAACTAGCTAAGCTTCCATTACTCGTCAGCTAGACTGCCATTCATCGAGTTCGCTTGATACCTGAGGTCTTTAACTGGCCACATGCACATCCTTCTTCAAATCATCACGATATGGACTGCTCGATCATGCACACAACTCCAAGGGAAAGAAATCTCGCGAGTGTATGATATATCGCAAAGGTAAAGTAATCTGCGCTTTGTTGTTCTCTACTTCGCCTAACTTAACTTCACTCTTAAAAGCCTCATCCCACGTACATACATACTTTTTTCTCTGCCGCAATTCTTTTCACCTCTGTATCAATTAGTAGCTGATTTATCGTGCTAGATCTTGCTGTCAATTGGCCAGGGTGGATGGCCATTTAACCATTGCCTTGTTGCATTAATTGCCGATAAGGCTTTAGAAAGGCAAAAGCACATCTTCCTGGAAGAAAGACGCCACTGCGATTAAAAAGCGAAGGAACAGGGGATAATGGAACATCACGAGGAACCTTTTTTTTCTCTTCCAAAAGTTTGAAGGCAAAAGAGGATGAAGTTGAATTTATGGGAACCTGTGAGGGTGAGAGATACCTACCGCACTTACAAGGGTCAAAAAGGTTAATTGCCGGTGTTCCTTTCCTTCTATTCGACAAGTGCCAGGATTATTTCTGTTCCTTCGATCGAGGCTCCAATGGAAGCCAGCCCCGCTGACAATTCCGCATCCCCGGAATGAAAATTCAGAGTAAAAAAACCTTACAACTTTAGTTTCATTGCTGCCTCGTCCACTCATATACATCCTGAACTTGAAACACACAGCTAAATAACCAGATATGTGGGGAGATAGGGTTCATGAAATATGGAGCCTCCCCTCCATTCGGTTCATCGTGCCACACGCAATTCAACCTGGCAACTAGGAAGTCTACGGCTCTGACGGTCCGCAATCCGTCGGCGATCTCCATTCACGGATAAGAGGGCCGACGCCCTCCAGGCTTCATGTGCAAACTGTATGCACGCTATTCTACGAGTACATACAGCAGGTAACTCAGATCCAGGAAAAGGCCACCCAAGACAACGGCCCGTGTTGTGCGGTGTTACATGCTCTCTCCCGGTGGCACCCATCATACAAGAGTATACCTATTTTTTTGAGGTGTACCTACGTCCCCCAGGGAGTTTACGTGACAGAGAGGGACTATTACATCTGTCAGAGAATTCCAAAAAGAGGTATGTGGTACCTACCGTGACCGATTGTCGTACTGAGGTCGAAATTAAATTGGGGATAGTGTTGTGTTTCCCCACAACCCCAGACTGAGCTAAACTATCCAGGACGCCACTATCTCGATTAATAAAGACCGGATATTGGAATTTTTTACTCGCCAACTTACATGGCCTATGGTACTAATAAATATTTTCTTTCTTGCGGGGTATACATGGACATGCTACATTTCGTAGGTAAGTAGCCAAATGGCCACTAGCGGATTCCAAATATCTGAGGAGGAGGGAATCAACTGGGAGGTTTGCAGTTTTCTAGACGCGTATGGATACAAGGTTAGGATCAATTGAATTAGATCGGTAAAAATGACTTCAACGAATCTACTCTCCGAGACTTCTATTCCTTTGGGCCGGGTTGCACGTTGTGATAGACATACATGCGTCCCAGAAGGGAGTGTCGCAGTTAAAAGTATTTTGGTCCGCGGTACGGAACAAAGAAAGATCGTGCCTATAGTTCCCCCTCCGAGCAAGGGTAAAAGAAAAACGGAAAATTATTATTACTATTTTGGCCGCAAGACACAAGACACAACTGCCTAGCCTAAGGAACCTCTCTTGGAGAACCTCTCCTGATGCTTGACTCCTGGATGTCATATCACGAGCGATACTATAGCTATAGCAGCGTCGATTCGATTCACCTACCTTTGGAACGTGAGCTGCCCCCGTGCCTCTGTCAATTGCGTCTGTTCGGCTACCGGTTTCGCCTCAATAAAAAATTAACAATAGCCTAACTCCCTACCTATCTAACGCCTTCATAATAGGGCGTCGCGGCCAATAACCATTCCACCAACTAATCTTCATTCCCTCAGTTCCTTCCTTGCCTGCCAAGTGGGTTAGAAATAGCTATGGATTAATTGATTTGATTACTAGCTGCATGCAGGACCTGGGAAGCTGGAGCGCCCTAACTTCCCCAACGGCAAATATCATCTCTGTAGGTGTGCAAATATCTCGTGCAACCATATGCGGCCATGGGTGTCTACATCGAAAATATCCAAACGATAATGAAACCCTTTCTTTCTGCCTGTGGTAGCTATTGCCCCACATCTTCTAGGATTGATAGAGTAGACAGAAGTAGAGCAACCGGACCACGAGAAGGACAGTATATAATACACCTTGAACGCTACTCTTGTATCTGATTTTCTCCCACAACTCCAGACTTCCGGCCAACGTTGGCACCCCCCACCAAAAGTACAAACTTAAACACGGAGTACAATGTCAGATACCTCCTATCATAACGAGAAGGAGGCAGCCACGCAAAAGGTCGTGGTTGTCGAGAATGTCGCCTACGCAGACGCACTTCTCAAGGCCCCTGTCAAACCATGGTCGAAGCGTATGATCCAAATGTATGGACTGTGTCTTCTAGCAACACTGAATGCATGCATCAACGGTTACGATGGTTCCCTAATGGGATCTATCAATGCGATGAAACCGTACCAGAAACAATTTGGAATGACCACAACGGGAGAGTCGACAGGTTTTGTGTTTGCAATCTACAGTACGTTTTTCCGCAATCCGAGCGATGATAGCTTTTGGGAAGAGAACTAATTCGGAGAAATAGCTGTTGGAAATCTTTGCGGTAGTTTTGTTGCGGGTCCGCTTACTGACACCTGGGGTCGTCGGTGGGGAATGTTCGCTGGAGGTAAGCTACCTTTAAACTAACGAATTGCCTGCCCTACCAAGCTTTGTGGCTGACGCTTGGCATATAGCTTTGTTCATTATCATCGGTACATGTATTCAGGCACCTTCACAGCATATGCCACAGTTCAAGGGAGGACGTTTCGTTCTTGGTTTCGGAGTAGCCATGAGTGCTACTGCCGGACCTAGTTACGTTGCTGAGATTGCCCACCCCAAGTACCGTGGTATTCTCACTGGTATCTTCAACAGTTTCTGGTTCATTGGATGTAAGTCACCCCATCGATACTCCTGGGTTAAAGATAGAAACTAATTCACTTTAATAGCTATCCCCGCATCATGGATCTCTTACGGAACTAACCTTCACTACCCGACCCACAACAACTCCTGGAGGATCCCATTGTGGCTTCAGATGTCCTTCTCTGGAATCGTCCTCGTCGGTTCTCTCCTCGTTCCTGAGACCCCACGTTGGCTCATGGCCAACGACCGCCACGAAGAAGCCCTCGCGGTCTTGGCAAAGTACCATGGTGAAGATGACCCGCAGAACCCGATTGTGCAGCTCAGTTACCGCGAGATGCACGAGCAGATCTCCATGACCGGTTCAGATAAGAGATGGTGGGATTACAGCGAATTGGTTTCGACCAGATCAGCCAGATGGAGATTGACTATGGTGGTCTCCATGAGTTTCTTTGGTCAATGGTCAGGAAACGCTGCTATCAGTTACTTTTTGCCAGTCATGTTGGAGCAGGGTCAGTAACAGTCCATCCCGTACGCGTAATAAACGATTAATTCTAACAATCATATAGCTGGTATCGCTGATGTGAACACGCAACTCATGCTCACGGGAGTTATCGCCGTCATTTCCTTCCTTGGTGCCATTATTGGATCCACGCTAGTCGACCGCGTCGGACGTAGAAAGATGTTGCTCACGACCTCCTGTCTGTTCGTCATGTGGTTTGCCATCATCACTGGTCTCTCCGCCAAGTTCGCCGGAAGTGATAACAAAGCCGCCTCAAACGCTACCATTGCCATGATCTATATGTTTGGATTCACCTTCAGTGTCGGGTTCACACCCTTCCAGGCGCTCTACCCCGTCGAGTGTCTTACTTTCGAGACCAGAGCTAAGGGTATGGCCGTGTACAACTTCTGGGTCAACATTGCAAGTTTCTTCAACCAGTATGCTACGCCAGTTGGACTTGGTGATGGTAATTTCTCCCCTCTAAACTACATTCTCTACATCTTGATAGAACTATAGCTAACCAATGACAGTTAAATGGAAATTCTACTTCCTCTACATTGCCTGGGACGCGTTCCAAGCCCTCTTCATCTACTTCTTCTACGTCGAGACCAAGGACCGCACTCTAGAGGAGCTCAACGAGATCTTCAACGCTCCCTTCCCGAAGGCGGCGAGTTTGAAGAAGACCGTTGTTGCGGTCGAAGGAACACAGGGTATTACTAATATCATTGAGGAGATTGAGGTGAAGGTTTAAGCTTCTACTGGGAGAGGCAAAGGATTGTAATATTTTTTAAGGTGTTCTTGTTTGATACATACATGTAGTTACTTTGATTATGAGGGCGGGAATGTGAAAAATGAAGTAATACCTTACATTGAGCGGAGTGTATAATTGTGGGGTGTTAATTGTGTGCGCATGTGAACAAAGCAGCTCGCTAGCTACTTAGCTCCCGATATGCAAACATGAAGCGAAGCGAACGGAGACGCCGTACACACCGTGCCCACCTAGGGAAGAGTATACGTAGAGTAGCTACGTAGAGTAGAGTATGGACAAGGGCGAGGGTAAAGGGCAGGGTCAGGGTCAAAACCAGGGTATCCAAATGCTTTAGTTAAATTAGATGCGGGTGTTCACGGATATCAAGCACAAATGCGTACCAACTACCCACTACATCACCAGACTCTTACCCCACTACCTACTATATTACCCCAGAGCCCACCTACCTATTCCCCAATTCCCCAGTCCCACATTCCCCAGTCCCCATAATCCCCAGATCCGCCCATAAGCTACTATACTCTAGCTTCATACCAGACCGCAGCTAGGAGCTAAGCGGTGAGCTGCAAAAGTTAGCACTAAATCAAAGAGGAAGCTACTCAACGTCAAAATAGACTAGAAATATGCGGAGATAAGTAGTCAATATCTCTACATCAAGCAAGCGTAGTAGAGTACTCTAGAGGTAGCACATACATGTCTCTACATACCTGTAAACTTGTTTCTCCGAATCACCGATCGATCTGGGACGTCAACAGACAGGCAAAATATTCCAATCTCAGTCGCAAATGTCTTATGATCTGCATGTTATTATTCCGTGCGGAATCCGCGCAAATACTCCTCACCCAGTCAGGGGGAAGACCTAGAGTAATGTAACCGCGGCGTTCCTGATGCCAAGAGCGAAGGGAAGTGAGGTGCATGCGGTTCATCGGAACTCCATGGAAGCTTAATTACATGTAGGCTAGTGGCGCTGGTGGTGGTGGGGCGGTAGTGATCGGGAAGAATATGCGGATGTCGATTTGTCTCAGGTTGTTTCTAGAGAGTGTGTGTGGATGTACCTGGTCTACAAGAGGCGTTTTATTGTTGTGGGTGGGTTGGTGAGATAAGCTCTCGAGAGCTCTCTGATAGATACTGATACTGAAAGTGCACAGAGTGTCTAGAAACCCAGTCCCAGTTTACCCTATCTTTCTCTCCACGGAACCAAAATAGAGTAGATTGAGATACATACGGTGTTAGCACATGTAGAAGTACCGTCAACATAAACATATCCATCTCTCCACATCCCACACCCCACAGCTTACCCCCCATTCATTCCCGTAGAAAATCCGGAGTAGGTACCTGAAGTTTAGTAAAGTGGGTCCTCTCGATCCACTATGTATGGAGATGGCTCATCAGCTCACCCATACATATTTGCCGCGGTGAGAACCGGCCGCGGCAATTTTCT